CACACACACACACACACACACACACAGACACACTTTCTGTTTCAAAACGCAAAACCAAAAACCAAACCAATAAAAAGAAATCCAAAAACAAAACGACTAAAAACGAACAAAAGACCACATCAAAACCACACGATCAATCATGTATGTTTCCCGGTCATTATGGGCTCCACCTTATGTGAATGAGCGAAACGACATCTGTTTTACGGTGTTGCTGCACACATTGTTCCCAGAACCCTCTCCCTCCCCCTCCCTCTTCCTGTCTCCTCCCACTTCTTCTCCCCTCTTCAACCTCCCCTCCCTCCCTCCCTCCTGCATCATACATGTGACGGCGTTATTATATTGTGTTCCACGACATCAGAATGAGAGAAACGACTGTTTTACGGCGTTGATGCACATATCATCGCTATAATAACCCTTTCTCTCTTCTCCATTTTCCTCCCCTCTCCTCCCCCACTCCTCCACTCTCACCCCCTCCTCTCTTCTCACGTCCCCTTCTGTATCGTTCCTATGACAGCCAATTATGTTTTACATCTCAGAATGAGCAAAACGACATCTTCTATACTGTATTGATGCGTATGTCTTTAGATTCACCCCCCCCTCACCACTCTAACCGCCCCCCCCATCCACATCTCCCCCCTCTCCTCCCTCTCCTTCTCCCTCCCTTCCCCCTCCTCTTTCCCCTGACTCCCTTTACTCCCCCTCTTCCCTGCAGCATCATGCGTATTATTATGACGCCGTTATTATGTGGTCCATCTCAGAGTGAGCGACATCACACCAGAATAATCTGCTATACTGCACTGAAATGCATGTCCTTAGATATCCCCACCCCCACCCCGACCCCCCTCCCTCTTCTCCTCCTCTCGCCCCTCCCCATCTATCATCACCTCCACCACCAGCCGGCCCGGTGTTGGTGAACCAGTGACCGCTGTGACCCCGACTCTCAGCTTGCCCTCCCCCGGTGCCGGATCTCACCCCGGACCTCACCCCGGACCAGGTCTGGGCGGCCTCACGCACTCTGTGATACAACCCTCGCCCTACAGCAACAACAACAGCAACTACCGCAACAGCAATAACCATCAACACCACCACCCCCCACACCCGCACCACGCCCATCTACCGCCACACCATCAGCAGCAGCAACAACAACAACAGCAACATCCGTCTCTTGGTGTGCCCTCAGATCAGCATCCTCAGTCATCAGCAACCTCTTCGTCCATACCATCTTCGTCTTCATCGTCATCATCGTCAGCAAAACCTCCGCCGTCATCATCATCATCGCCGTTCTCTCCGTCTGTCGGATCTCACCCGTCGTCGTCGTTGTCTTCAAGTCACGGCGTGACCAAGCGGACCTTGTCTCCTGGTGTTCAGCCCACGCCACCACACAACCAGCTTTCGGAGACAGCCGGCCCAGGTCACCCGGAGTCTCCCAACAGCTGTGCCAGATCTCTTCAGTATTCCAAGTCGCTCAAGTCTAGCCACCACCCCTCACCCCACCACCATCCGCCCCACCGCCATCCTCGTCGAAATCTCCCGTGACTGTCGGCGGACCTGCCGGCTACCCCCACCACCCGTACTCCCACCACCCAGGAAACGCCCCCAGCAACACCTTCCCGCCTCACCACCCCCACCCACAAGGCCTGACCCCGGGAAGTGGAGCTCCGCCCCTCTCCAACGGGCCCTCCCCCGCCTTCTCCTCTCGGGGGCCCTCCCCCTCTCACGCGGGGCCTTACCCGTACCCCAAACACCCAGGGGCCCCTCCTACGGGCTTTGGAGCCCCCTCGCCTTTCTCCCCTTACCCTCCCTTCGCGAGGCCTGAGGTCGTCAACAACAGTGTCCCTGGAGGTGCCGCCCACTCGGGCCCCTCCCCCTCAGCCGGAGGTCCCAGCTCCGGCCCACAATGCAACAGCAGCAGTGTTGGTGGCCCTCTGACGCCGCAGTCCTCGGCCTCGCTGCAGCACAACAGCAACAGCAGCCAGCCAGCTCCCCCGACCTCTGTGAGCGGCGGGTTAGTCGCCCCCTCCTCCTCCCCCTTCATCACCACCACTGCCGCCACAGCCCCCTCCTCCTCCTCCTCCGCTTCGTCGTCCTCGCTTATCTCCACCCCGCTTAGTCACCACAAACAACAGCACCCACAGCATCTTTACCACCCGCACCAACAGCAACAACAACAACAGCGACCACACAGCAACAACCCGTACCACAGCAGCAGCAGCACCCACCCTCACGCCCATCCCCACCACCGTTCGTCTTCGGGCGAGAGACACCATTCAGGCGGCCAGAACAGCCACAGCTCCGGTTACCATAGCAACCCAGCGGACCAGCACCGCGCCACCACCACCACCCAGTCCGCCTCGCCTCACGACCCTTCCAGAAAGTCGGCCACGCCGGGTCAACAGCCGCCCTTCAAAACCCCGCCCAACTGCCGGCAGGAGCACCTGTCTACCAGCGGAGGTGGCAGAGAATCGTCCGACAGAGACCGACATCACCATCACCCTCACCCTCACCACCACCATCATCACCATCATCATCGACACGGCAGCGGCAGCAGCAGTAGCAGCATCGGTCACCACCACAGCAAAGAACATCAGCACCAGCACAGCCGGGAGCGAGAGAGAGAACGAGAGTTGCGGGATAGAGAGAAGGAGAAGGAACGTGTAGGGCCCTCCCTCGGTTCCTCCCTGCCCCCCTCCTCCTCCACCTTTCCCTCCCCTGGCCTCTCCTCTAAAGGACCTTGGGGTTCCAGGTAAGACCCAGTCGCCCAGTGTGCTGTTGCCGGCTCACAGTTGAGTGATGGAACATTGGAATATAGTTTTACGCTCCTACCAAAACCCTTTGGGCTAGAGAACCGAGTTCAATTCCGAGTGGGGAGATTTTTTTTTTTCTCGAGTATCTCTTGTCTTTCTGTTGGGATGTTGTATCCCTCTCGGCCTGGGTTGGCTCTGGCAGGCAGGGTCGGATGCTCACCTACTGAATTATCTAAAATCACTGTGTTTTTTTTAAAGGACTCGTTTATGAAGTGGACTCTTAAAGTTTGTGTTATTGCCATCTTGAACCAGTGTCTGAGTTTGTTTTACTTTTGTTTGTTTGTTTGGTTTTTTTGTTGGGG